TTGACATCAGTCCTCCATCTGTAGTAGAGGCTACCCGGAAAATACGTTTTCTCAAACGGCATAAGGCTTCCGGCCCCAACGGGCTTTCCCCATCCGTTTTTAAGGATGGAGGTTGAGCCTTGGTTTTGGAGTTAACGAAACTCCTGGGTTCAGTATGGTAGAGAGAAGAGGTTCCAACTGAATGGTGTGAATCAGTAATCATACCGATTTACAAGAAATGTGACAAATCCTCCTGGGAAAACCACAGAGGAATTAATGTAATCAACATTGCTTCTAAATTTCTCGCTGTTATACTCTGTCGATTGTCTGCCGCACGTGAAGGGTGTACGCGTGAGAACCAGGATGGTTTCATGCCCGGTCGAGGTTGTTTCGACCACATCCTGACACTTCGTCAAATTCTAGAACATAGACACTCCTTTCGTAGACCCACCCTTTCTATCTTCCTCGATCTAAAAGCGGCTTTCGACTCAGTCGACCGCTCTAAACTCTGGAGCTGCCTTTCCCTGAAGGGAGTGCCCGAGAAGTTTATTTCAATATTACAATCCCTCTACAATAATAGCCGAAGCCGAGTTCGAGCTTACGGCACTTTTTCACCCGAGTTCACCACGGAAAGTGGTGTTCCATAGGATTGCTCTCTCCGTTGCTATTTAACTTCGTGATAGATTCAATTCTTGAAACAGCTCTAACGTCGTGCGAGGATAGTGGTATCGATTTACTTCCAGGTGGCAAACTGTCTGATCTAGAATATGCAGACAACATTGTGCTACTGAGTAAAGATCCAGGTAAGTTGCAAGCTTTTCTGGATAGTTTGAGTGCTAGCGTGTCCATGTTTAATATGCGGTTTGCACCTTCAAAGGGTAAAATGCCACTACAAGATTGGGTTGGTCCAGCACCCAGCCTCACCCTGACCGGGGAAGTAGTAGAGAAATTAGATAACTTTCGCTACCTGGGCAGCTATATCTCACCTGGCGGACGCATCACAGATGAAGTGTCGGCGCGGATACAAAAGGCTCGGTTGGCATTTGCCAGCTGGCGATATTTGTGGCGCCGTCGCGACATCTGTGAAGGGTCGAGTGTATGCTGCAGCAATTCTGCCAGTCCTGCTCTACGGTGCAGAGACTTGGCCACTAAAGGAACAGAATAAAAATAGGTTGTCGGTGTTCGAACACCGCTGTCTACGTCGCATTGCACGAGTCTGGTGGGGTAACCGGACGAGCAATGCTGAGGTTAGGCGCAGAGTTTTAGGCAGTCGCGGTCGTCCACTGGAGCAAGTGATCGACCTCCATAGATTACGTTGGTTGGGGTATACTTTAAGCATATCACCAGATAGGCTGCCACGGCGAGCAATGTTTGACGAGGCAGACAGCGGTTGGAAAAAGGTCAAGGGTGATCAAGCTAAGACCTGGCATGAGGGTATGAAAATCCTAACCAGGAGACTAGGTCACATAGGTCCTGTTAGGCTCCCTTGCTGGGGATCTCGGGATGACGGTCACCGATGGTTAGAGACACTGAGTGATATGGCCGGATGTCACAACCAGTGGCGCTCGTGCATCCACTCATCATTCTCCTAACACCATTTTTTATGAATTCTCCATCTTCCGCTTGAATTTGCTTCCAACATTCCAATCTTCGTTCTGCTCTTTTATCCAAATGGGACACCAAAAGACAGCAACCAAAACCAGCGCACGAAAGTGCATGGTTAATGGTTGTAAAAACTTATTTTAACTGATTGTGCATGCCCAGCTATCATTTACCGCACAACGAGGGCATCACTCCGTCTGTGGGAAATCACATTGAGGTCTAAAGATAATGTGGAAACAATGCGTTTAAATAGAGTAGGTCTCATTTTCCAAGCTAGGATTCAAAAGATCGTGTAACTGACTGTTAGGAGACGAACCGATAGCATTGACATTCTTGTAGTCACTTCTTTTCAGGCCATAATGCTTGAAGAGTTATGTATGCACAGTTAGACTGTGTATTCTGTGTGCTAACCATTGAGGTTTGCTTTATTCGCTTCCTCATCTAATAAAAGGTCCATCCCTATCAACTTCGCACGTTTTCACTCACTTTGCTCACCTTGTGAGCATGGCAGCGATCGGTGAAGTTCACTTCACTGTATTTCGCGTTACAGTGATGAAGTTTGACTACCGCCTCTTGTGGTTAGCAACTTTTCTCTCTTTTTCTTTCTTTGGAATTTGTGCGCATATGAATCACATAAGTAAATTGCCTTCTGTTTGATTCGTTTTCCTCACCACCTAAATTGTACAATATTTCTGCTTCCACTATTGATTATTCAGACAGAACTCGATTTGCAATCAATTGAATCTCGTTGCACAACAACATTTGACACATCTTGATGTTGGTGAGCATTTCGCCGAGTACAGGAACTCAACATGATATATGGGTCTGGGAGAGGATTTAGATCTGTTCCAATAATGTTTAATTTGATACAATTTATTGCACACAGTACGTCTTCCCTATTGTATACACGAACCGCAAAAAGGGAATCCGGTTTTTTATCAAAGTGATGCACGCGTCGTTTGTCATGAGGCTTTAGTCGGAAATCGCAGTTTGGTGTATAGGTACGTTTATCGCCCAGTTGATTCCGAATCTGGGAAAATTAGTGTGTACATAACCACTCCCCCTTGGAACCCTTTATGTTTTAACTTTTATAACGATTAAGCAGTCTTGGTTTTTGTCTTTTGGCTGTTATAGGTTGATTCCTTTCTTTGCTTTGGGCTCTAAATGTACCATTGGCTATTGAGAGACAGCTTTGGGAGAGTTACTGCCCATAAAATGTGATGCTGCTTAACGAACGGTACGGTGACGCTTTTTTTGGACCAAATGAATTAGCTACCTATTCATGATATAAGCTCTAGAAGTCATTTTCTTTTTAGCATTTTTAACGGCTTTTACAGTCGTGCAATAACCACTTTTTATCACTGTATGATGCCCCAGTTCTCTCTCTAAAAAAAGGTTTGAATCCAATGCAATGATACGAACGAGAACAAAACTGATTAGGTTATATATTGTTTATTCTCATTACATTCAACCCATTTTTTGTTTGGTTCAGTTTGGCGTCCCGGGTGAATTTCTTACCGGTGGTTACGTCCGTCCGCAAACGGGCGCTTTGGATAACTGTGGAGACCGCTCCTCNTCCTCGCATAACCAGCCCCGACTCGGTCTCCGGATTGCACATGTAACCGAACTGGGTAATCCGCTCGGGGTCAACCCGAATCAACCAAGTCAATCTGCACATCAACAAAGCGCGCACCAACCACAACAACCAACAATTCAGCATGCTAACCCGATGCGTCGCGGGGTGGTGTCTAAGACAGATGAAGACGATCTGGCTCTGAGTAAGGCTTCCACTTCGTGCCCGGCTGAGATGCAAGATCCGTCCCTCGCTGGGTTCGGAACCAGTCCGCTCCAACACAGTGCCATCGCTTATCATGCCACACAGCCAGGAAGCGGCGGTGGTGGTGGTAGCGGAGGTAGCTTGGGCGGAAATAGCACGAACGATGGGATCCCTATGGGGCCCGGGAGTTTGCTGTA